CTCTAAAATTGTCTTTAAAACTGTTAACCATGTGTTCAATAATGTGGTTCATCTATAGAATTGAATGTTTCAGACCAAGTTATCTGTGGCTGAGTCCCTATGTAGCACAGATGGTTAAGCAATTAACTTTTGCATAAGCTGAGAGTTTGACAGTTGAGGAGAGGCACCTGAGAAAACAGGCGCAGTGGTCTACTACAGTTAACAGAAACACTGTAAGGTGCTGTCTTACTCTGAAACATATGAGATCACCAGATGCACCAGGATCAGTGGCAACTGTGTTTTGAGTAAATGTACCAAGTTTAGTTTTCTACTTTGTTCTACATGTGCTAGAAACTAAGAGCATGTAGTTTGTCTATAGCACTATTCAGATCTGTCTTGCTCTATAAAAAATAATTGTCTTGTTTGCCGTCGAGATGGAACCAACTCGTACCTAACTTTCCAGCAGGTTTTCAGAGGCAGTAAGTCACACGGGAGGAGATTGCCTGTTCTCCCACAGAGCCAACTAGGGATTTGAACTGTGTCCTTTTGGGATTTATAGTGCAGCTTCTTACCACTAGAACACCAAATCTTCTTTAAAAAATAATACCAGTCTTTATTCTAACAGGATTTCATAAGGAATCTATTCTGAGTCTTGGTGATATTTACTTCTTCATAAGTATCCAAATATCATCCTTTGAATAGTATCTTGAGTTTTTCTAGGGGTGGACAAACATCTCACCAGTATATAGTTTTGGGAACCAGTGTTGACATGTTTTGACAATCAGGATGATTATCAGGAGGATTCATTTTCAAGCTATAGTTTTCCTCTATTTCTACATGGCTCGTTAGAATGCCGAAACCTCACCAAAAAATTTGCTGAGCATCTTGGAAATCAATTCCGCTCACATACAGAAGTTGGGGGGTGGGGAAAGAAGTTAGCACCACAAAAAGATAAAGGTAAACAACCCAGTTGAAAAATGAGCACAGGATATGAACACATCACCAAAGAAGACATTCAGATGGCCAACACATGATGAAATGTTCAAAATTCCTAGCTCTAAGAGAGATGCCAATCAAAACAACTATGAGATATCATCTCACCCCAGTAAGAAGAGCAATATTTAACAGAACAGTGAACAACAAATGCTGGCAAGGTTATGGAGAAACTGGAACCCTTATTCACTGTTGGTGGTAGTGTAAAATGGTGCAACCACTATGGAAAGAAGTATGGCGCTTTTTCAAAAAGTTGGAAATAGAAATGCCATTTGACTCAACAATTCCACTACTGAGAATATACCCTAAAGAAACCATAACTGCCACCCAAGCAGATATATGCACACCCATGTTTACTGCTGCTTTGTTCACAATAGCAAAGAGTTGGAAACAACCCAAGTGCCCATCAAAAAATGAATGGATAGAGAAGCTATGGTATATTCACACAATGGAATACTATGCTGCATTGGAAAAACAAAACCTCATGAAATATTGTACAAAATGGGTGACCCTCGAGGACATTATGCTGAATGAAATATCTCAGTCACAAAAGGACAAATACTGCATAGTGCCACTGTTGTAAAACGTGACTGACATTGAGGTTGGAGGGAAACCAAGAGGGGATAAATAATGTATACTGCATTGAAACAGGTAAGGGAGAGAACTGTTTAAGAAGAATATATGATTAGGTATTATTGTCATGACAAGAGTTCAAAATGAAAATGGCATGGTGGAGTGGACTAAGGGGATTGTATAACAATGAAAGAATTCTTTTTTTTTACTTTTCAAAGAGAAAAGTGAACTGGGAGGAGGGGTGGGCAGGGAGGAAAGTGTGCAACATTGAATTAATGGAAATCCAAAGTCTCTGTAAACTTTCATTAAAATAGTTGTTAAAAAAAAAGAAAAAGAAGTTGGACTCGTTCCTGAGTTGGAGCCACTTTTCTGGGTAGATTTTTTTAGTTTCCACTTTGTTTCTGCTTCTTCCAGAACCATGTGACCAGTGTGTTTTCCATTTCTGCTATAATTATCTGGCACTGATTCCACTGTAGCTGCTCAGCTATTCTCACAAATCCTTCCACCTGAGGAAATATATAAACAAACATAAAGAATCAGATTCATCAATGTTTATTATTGTTATGTGCCACTGAGTCGCTTGCAACTCATAGTGACCCTCTGTACAACAGCCCTAAACACTACCCTGTCCTGTGCCAATCTGTCTCTGACACACCCACCCCCATTATCTCAGTCACTGAATCAATCCATCTCATCGAGAGTCTTCCTCTCCTGCACTGTCCCTCCACCCTCCCAAGTATGGCGTCCCTCTCAAAGGACTGGTCCCTCCTTGCAACATGTGCAAAGTATGTCAGATGATGTTTCAGAATCATCCTTGCCTATAAGGAGCAGCCTAGCTTCATCCTCTCCAGGACAAACCTGTTTATTTTCTTAGCATCCCATGGTGTATTCAATACTTTCTCCAGCACTACTGCTCAAAGGCATCAATTCTCCTTCTATCATCCCTAGTCATTGTCCAGCTCTCTGATGCATAGCAAGTGATTGCAAAGACCATGGAATTTATCAGGCACACCTTAGTCTCCAGACTGACATCGTTGCTCTTCAGTATTTTAGCGAGGTCTCTAGCTTCAGATTTTCCCATCACAGGTGATTTGTCCTCATTGAAACTCTATTTCTTCATCTGTAAAATGAAGATTAATACCTGCCTCAGGAGTTCTTTAAATTATCCACATAATGAGGAGAGGTATTGCACTGGGAACTCTACAGTCAAGGATCTCTCCAAATTATTGAGGTGAAATGATGTTAGTTTATGGTCTAAGGTATGCCTGATTCAGCCCATGGTCTTTCATCACTTCATAACTTACTATGCATCTGAGATCTGCACAATAACTAAGGATGAAGAATTGATGCCTTTGAACTGTGGTGTTAGAAAAGAGGGCTGAATATCCCATGGACTGCCAAAAGAACAGATATGTCTTGGAGAAGATACAGCCAGAGTGCTCTTCGGAGGCAAGGATAATGAGGCTTCGTCTCACATACATTGGATATATTGCTAGGAGAGGTTATTCCTTGGAGAGGGACATCATGCTTGGGAAAGTGGAAGAGAGGCGGAGGAGAGGAAGACCCTCAGCCAAGTGGGTTGACACAGTGACTGCAGTAATGAACTTGATTGTGTCAAAGATTGTGAGGAAGGCACAGGATAGGACAGTGTTAAGAGCTCATGTTCATAAGATCACTATGAGTAGTGATTGACTCCATGGCACTTAACAACGACAACAGTACCCTTTTGCAGACCAGGACAGGGCCCATAGCAGACGCAGGCCCTGTTCTGTCTTTTCACCTGCGAAGCGCCAACCTGCTTAGTTAAACGCAGGCAGGCGCATTCACGCTCAAGTCATCAGCTCCAAAGAGACCTGAAGAATCCAGACACCCACCCCCACCCGCGAAACTGCAAAGATGGGCAGCGTCTGCGAAGGCGGGAAACCCAGCCGCGCCCAACGGCCGTGGGTGATGGTCTGGCACCTGCCGAGCTAGTCCGGATTGGGTCCTTCTTCTGGTAATGTCAAAGTTTTAACCAATCAGCGGCCGGGCCTCTCAGAAAGCCCCGCCCCTCGGGCGCCCGCTCTTTTGGCGCCAGCGGGTGGCTGTTTTGCAGTTTAGGGGTCCTAGACTAGGTTCCGAAAGACCTGGAAAAGATCTGAGGCATGCACTTATCCTCTTCTAGGCATCCGTTTGAAAGAGCCGTGGCCGAGAAGCAGAGGAGTCTGTGACCTTGGGCAAGCCTCTGATTCCCTCCAGGCGTCTGTCTTGCCCTTCTCACAGTGAGGACGGCGGATGGCGGAACTGGAGGAGGATGTCCGTGGTGCGTGGGTGGGGGTAGAGGTGGGGAAGGTAGTGGTGTGACCCTTTGGGCGAAACGAAGTAAACGTGTAAGGCCATTCTACACGGAAGTGGTGAAAGGCGCGGCCAAAAGCCCCGCGTGGCCGTAGGAGGGCGTCTCACTTTTGTTCCTTGACCGCGGGTCCCATTGGCTCCGCCTCGCCATGCCGGTCCCGCCCCCGAGATCTAAGTCTCGGCGCCTCAGACGCCAACCCCCTCAGCAAGCCTGACCGGCCGCACCCGAGGATCGCAGACTGCACGCGGTCCCTCTGCTCCCTCTGCCCGCCGCCCCAGCCGCCTGCGCGCTCGTGTTCTCCCCGAGGCCCGGTGAGCCCGGCTCCTGCCCCGCGCCCGCTCCATCTCCTCCTGCCTCCTTCGTCGGCGTCCGCTACCCGGGCCACGCGGCTCCGCGTGCTCCCTTTTCTTTAATAGTTCCTTTTACCAATCTATTGTATACTCCTCCTCCTCTTCTTTTTTACCTCTTTTCTGTCTCCCTTTGTTTTTTACTTTCGCATCCAGCAGGCTGTTAGTTGAAGCCTCGGTAGCCCCACAACAGCCAGGTTGCTTTGCCTCCCTTTATTAGGTGGGACCCCTCCACGCATCCTCAATGACCCAGCGACCTCTCCCTCCCTGGTCTGAGGCCTGCGGACTTGGGCTGGCGGCTTCTGGTCACGCGCCCCAAAACCTTTCCTGCGGCTGTTTCTACTGAGAGGAGGCTGTGGGTTGCGTTCCCCCCCCCCCCCTCGCCGCCCTAGCTTCTCTGGGGCTGTCACAACAGCTCCTGCCGGCTTGCAGTCCTGGCCTGGATCTTAGACCCCTCCTGGACAATGACTGTCAACCCCTCAAAGTACTTCCCACTTCCCAGAGTCTGCTGATTGTGTTAGGGCATGCTTATCTAGAATATTGGGAGTCACTATGGCAGAGACTGGAGGAGAGCCAGAGTGTGGTACAGACAGATCCAGTGAGTGGGAATGGAGCACTCCGGGCTTATTCCTCCCCACTGATACCTGATTTCTCTGGATGAGATGGGTCCAGTTGCTCCTCTACTTCAAGGGCATGTGTGACCCTTTCCTACTGGGGAGTGGCCCTTTAAGGTTAGGGTCCCTTTCTTAATTTTTTTCTGTTCTAACCCGCAGGACACATAGTATGACCATTAGGTATTCCGTCTCCCAGCCATTTTCTATGGAAAATCAAAAAGATCAGATGATCATGATAGCCACTGGCAGCTTTAAAGAATGGGACGTCTTTAGAGAAGCTTGATTTTGAAGGCCTCATCGTGAGACCTTACAAAGCCGGGTAAGAGCCCTGGGGTTAAAGACTAGGGGGTCAGGGGCCTTTAACAAAATCACAACCACCACTAACCCCAGTGAAAAAACTATTAACTCTTTCTAGGCATGAGTTTTACTTCAGTTGAGTCTTTAACACAGTGAGGTTTATCCCTCACATACAACATCTTGAAGATCCTGACTTGTATAAACCCAAATGTCTTAGTTCCTTCACTGTCATTGCTGTCGAGTTGGACTAACCCATGGCCGACCTTCCCTTGGGTTTCTGAGACTGTAAATGTGGGAAAGGAGATTGCCCGACTTTTCCCTCTCTGAGCTGCTGGTGGATTTGAACTGCTAGAGATGTGCAGGCTTCGAGTCAAGCAGCATAACTTCCTATAGGCTACACAACCAGAGCCTTAGTTACCTAGAGTTGCCATAACATTTAAAAAAAAAAAAAAAAAAGGCACAACTAGGGATCTCTGGTGGCCTAGTGGCAAGAAGCTGTTCTGCAATCCCAAAGGCACGCAATTCAACTCCACCAGATGCTCCACTGGAGAAGAAGAGGCAATTTCCCCGTGTCCATCAGATCTGATTCAGAATGGTACACACACACACACACGTACACACGTGCGCACACGCACACGAGCAGCCACAAAGAACTCTGAGGCATTATCTCCCAGTTTTAAAATCTAGAAGGTCAGGTCAGGACATCTACTATAAGGGCACTATCTTATCTCTGCTTCTTAGAGGCCCAGGTGTTCCTTAGCAATTTATAGATATGCCTGCACATGTGACTCTAATCTACTCTTTTCACCATAAGACTTACAAGCAGTTAGATTTAGGACTCATTCTAGTCTGATACGGCTTCATTAACTTAACATGAACGCAAACTCCTATTCCCAGCAGGGTACAAGCATGAAGATTTCCACTTTTCTTTGGTGGAAATTTCTTTCAGCCCATAACAAGGCAGCATTCCAAATGGCATCTGAATAACTGTCCTTATCTTTGAGGTGGGCAGGAGCCAGATCTGTCTCTGGCCTTCACCCTACACTGCTGGCGTGTTGTATGACCTGTATGGTCACGTCTGGGATAAAGACTTGGCCTACCACTTGCTTGTACTTTCTCAGAACTGTCGGCACAAGAAAACTTGGCTGTGAAATTTCCTTATGAAAAACCCTGCCTATCCTGGGACAAAGTCTGTAACACAAGCTTTGGGACTTGTAGAGGATGCTTCTGAGTATCCTAAATGGTAACATGGCAAGGCAGCCACCTCACAGAGCTGCTCTGAAGAGCAGGGGTACCACAGGGGAAGGTACAGAGCACCTCATGCCTGGTGTGAGTGTCTGAACAGGCAGATGTGAGGGGGCATCTTTATATTCCAACTGTGGTATTTGAGCACCAAGCCTATTGGCCAATCTACAGGCCATAGATACAGTTAGTGTGCGTCGCCTCCTGATTTCCCTGTTTACCCCAGCCACCTGGGATGAGAAGCCCAGGAGGAAGAAGCTGGGTGAGCTGTTTCCATGAGTTTCTGAGTACACAGCTGACTGCCACCACATCCTCTTCTGCGGACCAGTTCTTGCCTCCAGGGCCCCAGTGACAGAGGCAGCCAATCAGGCTGAGCTCAGAGCAGCTGCTTCTGTGAAGGGAGAGGAACAGGTGTCCCTCCCCGACTTGGGTGTTGGACTCACTTCCTCCCTGACCAACAGAGGAGGGTGTTGTTTTGACTCTGAGAACAAAATGGAGCTCTTGGTTTCCTGTGTCATTCTTCATCGTTTCTGACCTCCACCTCCTCATCCCCACTTCTTGTGGTGAAGATGTAGATCCCCTATGTTGGAGGAAAGGAAACTGAGAGGAGGAGTACTTTCCCAGCGTCACACTGTAGGCCAGTTGAAAGAGTGCCTGGTGCCTCCACAGCGCTGAAAATTGCCCAAGATCCTTCAGGGCTCAGCTAAAAGTTACCTTGGTGAAGATGGTTTTCTGATCGCACTGCCTTTGTCCCAGTGTAGATCCTCCTGCTGCATTTTTAGAGTATATGCCACAAGTACCAAATGTAGCTTGAATTACCTCTCTAACTTCCCTCTCAGACAGTGAATGGTCAGCCTACTGTTTGGACCCACCCGGTGACCTCCCCCACAAAAAAAGGCTTGGAGATCTACCCCCATAAGATTGTTGTTGTGACCCCTGGAGTTGTAACTGACCCTCCAGCGGGTTTTCAGAGGCGATGAGTCACGTGGGAGGAGATTGCCTATCTTTCACCTGCATAGCAGCTGATGGATTTAAAGAGTGAGAGCCATTTCAAGGCACACTACAGCAGGGCAGATATGTCTCAGTGGTGTCCAGAAAAGCAACCTTGTTGAAAAACTGACTCGAGTGCCTGAGCTGAGTGAAGGCTGGGGGAAAGAACTGGCCATTACCTTTCTTAACAGAAGTACTTCCAAATTCAGAAGAACAGGTCATGTTAGCAAACCCAGGACATAAGCCTGTGCCTGGGGAGGCTTGAGCTGCCTGAAGCCATTTCCCTCCCAGCAGTCCTGCAAGAGTAGGAGGGCAGCAGCACAGCCAGCAAAGGCTGAGCCAGCACAAGGACAGCCCGGAGGAGAGAGCTCTTCCTCACCACAATTCTGTGGATAGGAATTGCCTCTCTAGCCCTATGGCATACGGACCCCTAGCCCCAGCTCACTTCTGTTTCCTTTGTGGGAATGCTCTGCATCCTTGCTTAGGGAGTCAGTTTGTCAGGGAGGGGAGACTTGGGATACTGCTCCTGAGGGCATTTTTCCTCTTGGCTCAGAGTCCGGCAGAGTTCCTCTATCTCGTCTTGACACAGTTGAAGTGGCCATCTTCTTCAATTCTCTGTCTCCTGGGAGGTAGCCAGAAATCAGCATCATGGTTGGGTTTAAGGCCACAGATGTGCCTCCAACCGCCACTGTGAAGTTTCTGGGGGCCGGCACGGCAGCCTGCATCGCGGATCTCATTACCTTCCCCCTGGATACTGCTAAAGTCCGGCTGCAGGTGAGGAGATGGCTCTGGGAGTCATAATGGTGCCTAGTCTTTTCCCTACCTAAGGTCACAGGTGGCCTTAGCTGCCCTGTCTTGGATTTGCAGATCCAAGGAGAAAGTCAGGGCCTAGTGCGGACCATGGCCAGCACTCAGTACCGCGGAGTGCTGGGCACCATCCTGACCATGGTGCGCACCGAAGGCCCCCGCAGCCTCTACAACGGGCTGGTCGCCGGCCTGCAGCGCCAGATGAGCTTTGCCTCAGTCCGCATCGGCCTCTACGACTCTGTCAAGCAGTTCTACACCAAGGGCTCTGAGCGTGAGTGTGCAGCCAAGCCATATGCTCCTTAGCCTTCTTGGTGTGGATTGATCCTAGTGCATTTAGCAGAATAGGTCCTAAAGTTCCAAGATCCCTGGAAGGTTCAGAGGAACTGAGAACCTGGAGGAGGCCCTGATTTTTCTAGATTCCTAAGCCCCTGGTTCTGTGCCAGGCTCATGGATATCACCTTGTGTGTATTCTTCATAACCATCATGGTGTAGGTGTACCATCCCAGCATTAAAAAAAAGAGTTCTGAAGAATAGGGACGTCTAAGGCCAAAAAGTCGTCCTCCTTTGCAAGCTGTACCAACCTCATTTCACATGAGAAAAACAGAGAGTCCTCCAAGGTGATATGACGAGGAAAAGTAGATCTTAGAGCAGGACCCATGACCAGTCCTTAGAAAGGTCACTTCTCTGAGCCTTGGTTTTCACATTTGTCAGAGGAGGGTTCTCATTTCTTAGGGCTGTCGAGCAGATTAAGTGAAGCATGTGAAAATGCTCAAGGAAAGAAAACACTCTGTTCCATTTTGTCTTATTCCTTGTTTTGTTGCAGTGCCTAGCACATGGTAGACATTTACAGTAATACTTGGTTTAGTGCAGGGGTTTGTTAGAGAAAGAATGGTCTGAACTCTACTGAAAGGGCAGAGGTTTATAATAATATGGTGGTTTGGGTGAGGTGGAAAACAAGGACAATCCCAGCTGATCCCCCGGTTTCCCCCCAGATGCTGGCATTGGTAGCCGCCTCCTGGCAGGCAGCACTACAGGTGCCATGGCTGTGGCGGTGGCTCAGCCTACGGATGTGGTAAAGGTCCGGTTTCAAGCACAGGCCCGGGCCGGCAGTGGCCGGAGATACCAAAGCACTGTGGATGCCTACAAGACCATTGCCCGTGAGGAAGGTTTGCGAGGCCTTTGGAAAGGTGTGTATCTGATATTTCCTTTCCTTCACAGTTCTCCTCCTCCACTGCTTCCCTCCTCTCACACAGGCTCTTCTTCCTGTAGGGACGTCTCCCAATGTTGCTCGCAATGCCATTGTCAACTGTGCAGAGCTGGTGACCTATGATCTCATCAAGGACACCCTCTTGAAAGCCAACATCATGACAGGTGAGATAAGGTAGATGGGGCTGTGTCTTGCCTTTTTGAACCTGCCCTGGGATGAAGTGCCCCCTTTACAGACTGAGGAACCAGAATTCAATTCGTAAAATGAACCTCGGATCCTCATAGGAGGTCCCAGCTGAGTGTCTCTGTCCTAAGACCATGAAGCCCCTCACGACTTCATTCTCTGCACCCCTGGCATCCTGGAGTTATAGGGAAAGGAGTCCTGACTGCTGTGCCCGCTTCTTTCTGGCAGATGACCTCCCTTGCCATTTCACATCTGCCTTCGGGGCAGGCTTCTGCACCACCGTCATCGCATCCCCTGTCGACGTGGTCAAGACAAGATACATGAACTCTGCCCTGGGCCAGTACAGCAGCGCTGGGCACTGTGCCCTGACTATGCTCCAGAAGGAGGGGCCTCGGGCCTTCTACAAGGGGTGAGCCTCTGGTCTACCCCTCCCAGTTCCTCCTGACCCTCCAGACCAGGCACCAAGTGGGAAAGAACCGCCTTGGACTAACCCAAGTCTCAAACCATTTCTGTTCCTGGTGTTAAATGGTAGACATCCACTCGGTGTCTTTATTCCTACCCAGGATTGCTGTCATCCATGTTTTATGGTACTCTGTCAGTTTTGACTGCCAGCCTTTCAGTTAACCATTTAACCATTGCATCACCATTTAAGGCATAAAAATTGAGAGGATACTTGCTTATAGCCAAATCTGTGAGGCTCAGGTCTAAGTCCACTGTGTTGGACTGGACTCCAGGGCCTCGAGCGAGGTGGGCAGGAGGTAGGGATTCTCCAGCCTTACCATGGTGCATGCTATAACCTGTGTTCTTTCTTTCTTAGGTTCATGCCCTCCTTTCTTCGCTTGGGCTCCTGGAACGTGGTGATGTTCGTCACCTATGAGCAGCTGAAACGAGCCCTCATGGCTACCTACACTTCCCGGGAGGCTCCCTTTTGAGCCTCTTGCTTCTGTTGCTGACCTGGCCATCCCTGGCATTGGCTTCTGCCCAGCCAGACCCTACCTTTCCCTTCCCTTCCCTCCTCTCCCTCTTCTCTCTCTCCCCTCCCCATACTTTCTCACCCCTCATCTCCCCATTGCCCTTCAGTCCTGGTGTAGTTGACCCCATCCTGGCACCAGTGAAGATACCAGGCCACCACCAGTCCCTTTGAAAGTTCAGCCATAGTCTTCATTCTGCCCCCCACCCCAGCCCAGCCAGCATGTTACTCATAAAGCAAGCTCAACTTTGGCATCTCTTCCCTCCTTTGTAGCTTGGTCAGAAGTCTTGGTCCAGTGGGCCCTTTTGACCCTGGTGGGCAGGGGAGAAGCCACCTGAACTTGAAAGTGGCATGTGACTCACCTTCCACCTCCATTGTCCAGTCTGGGGCCCATGGAGGTCATTCTATCCATCTTTATGGACCAAGGGCCTGAACTGAGGTACCAAAGGGCATTATAGCAACTTATGCAAGACCTGGTACCCCAGTGCCTGCCTTCCCTGTAAGGAGAGCCCTGTTTGCCCCCACTGGTTCCAAGACAGTTCATAAACAAATAGAGGCCCCACCCACCCTGCATTTCCAGTGCTGCTTGGTGTATGAACCCACCAGCTGCTCGGTGGGAGGAAGATGAATCAGCCTTTTCCCATAGAGGTCACAGTCTTGGAAACTACTGGGCAGTTCCCCTCTGTCCTGTCAGAGATGAGGAGGATAGCACAGATAGGACAGGGTTCAGATCTGTTGTCACTGAGATGTAGTCAATACAACAGCACCTAACAACAACTATCCCACAGGATCACTGTCAATGGAAATTGACTCAATGGCAGTGGTTTTGGTAATGTTCAATGCTGTGGGTGTATTTTATCCAGATTTTACAAATGGAAAACCCACTTCCTGAAAATTCTGGGCCAAGTAAACAAGTCTGCCTGGCTCCCAAACTCAGCCCTGGGAAGGTGTTAACTTAGCAGAGTGGGGGCTAAATACATGTGAGAGAACTTCTATTTGGAGTCTCACTCTCCCTAGGGCAGGGTCCCAGTACCTCCCACTTGTCCTGAAGCAGGACAGTAGGTGAGTAGGACTGCTATAATTTCAGAGAGTGGGGGACTCAGACCCCAAAATCTTAAGGCATGCCCAATCCAGGCCCCAATTTATAGATGGCCTTAAGTGAGCTTTAGTGGCCTAGTGGGTAAGTTTATGTCAATCTAAAGGCAAGAGGTTCAAATCCACTAGCTGCTCGAATGGAGAAAGATAGGCAATCTCCTGCCATGTGGTTACAGCCTCTGAAAACCTGCTGGAGGGTCTGCTGTCAGTTGGTTCTGACCCAACAGCAATGTGAGAGCAAATAAAGTGTACAAAGGGCCTGAAAACATGGACTGGTCCTTGGAAAGGCCTCCAAGGTAGCTGTGGAGCCGGGCCCAGAAGACATGGTTCTTCCAGTTTCTTCCCACAGTCTAAAGCATGTGAGGGCTCTGCTCCCTCCTCTTCCTGACTGATCCTTCTGTGTTTGGGCAAGGCAGCCAATATGTCCTGAAGGAAGAGGCCCCAGGATTCAAAAGCTTCCTCAGTTCTGACAGATAAACTAAGGCCACAAGTCCCTGGAGAGGCAGAGTTGGGTGTTGTGAGGCAGCAAGCCAAGGTGCAGGTGGCAGCTGGCCTAGTTAGGCTGTTAAAACTGCAGGGAGTCAGCATAAAGGGACACTTGACTGCTTGTCATAGATGTGTACCAGTTGCTGTTGAGGGAACTCTGGTGACCTACGGAGTTGTACTCCTAAGACAATGGCAGTAACACCAAGAGGAAAAGATGGGCAGTCTGATCTACAACCTCGGAAGCCAGTGGAGAGTCAGCTATGTGACTATTCAAATTAAGCAAGGAGATTGGGTTGCTATGGATTCCATTTAATCAGCCTGATGTATCAACAGCTCACAGACTGCAGTGCTAATGAAAGTCTGGCTTTTGGAGTTCACCAGAAGGCCACTCTAGGATGTGCTTCATAAAAAATCAGCCACTAAAAACCCTAGAGAACCCAGTTTTACCGGTCACTTGAGTTGAAGTACTGGTTTTGTGAGTGCTCATGTGTGTATTACTTGTGTACCCAATCCCCACAACCCTCCATGGCAGGCTTCTTTTATGATGTAAGAAAAATAGTAAGTTGCCCCTGCGTTACTCTTTGCTGGGCAAGTTGGAACTGACCCATAGCTGACCCTCCAGGAGATTTTCAGAGGCTGTAAAGTGCACGAGAGATTAGTCCTCTTTTCTTAAAGCAACTAGTTGATTTGAACCCATCTTTGAGTTGGCATCATGATTCCCTACCACTAGGCCACCAGAGTTCCTGGTGTGTTAATAGAGCTAAATAAGCTGGCTGAAAAACCAGTGTCCACTGGCCATGTCCCTGAGACGATGAGCTCAGGAAGGTGAATGGAATCACCAGAGAAGCATACATGAGTCTCAGGGGCTGTGACTATAGGTAGGTCTCCACTTCTTGGTCTCAGTCCTTAAAATGGGCATATGATAAGCCCCTGTAGGGAGCTCTTGAGGTCTAATGAGTAAGAGCTTGCATTGCCAACTCAAAGGTAGGTGGTTCAAGCTGCTCCAAGAGATGATTCCCATGTGATTTACAGCCTCTAGAAACCTGAAGGGTCAGCTAAGAGTTACAACTTAATTGCAATGAGTGACTGCCTGACTCACAAGTTAGTGCCTGAGGTAATGAGAAATCATAGACGACAAAAGGCCTTTCCATCAGGCTGGAAATCAGGAATTCCCACTGCCCTAGAAGAAATTGGGAGTTTGAGAGACTGGCTCTTCACACACCATGTTCCCTACCCTATTTAATACTCTCAGCAGCTGCACTTGGATACTGCCTCATAGAAGGCAGAGTCGGCTTTAGTTTCTGAAAAGGAGCTGCAAGGTGGTGTGTGTCACCCAGTCAAATCAGCCTCTAGGACAAGACATAATAGTACAGCTGCCCTATAGGATCTTCTGTTAGATGCTGTTGACAGCATAGAGGTTCTGACAGCAACTCTGTACATACAGCAACTGTACAACTGAGTGAAACAGTCCAATCTGAAACTGTCTTATGTTTGAGCCCATTGTTACAAGTAGTGTAACTGAGGGTCTCTCCCTGATGCTCTAACAAGCACGACAGCCTCCAGGGACTGGTTTCCTAATAACATGCCCAAAGTAAGTGAGACAGTCTCGCCATCCTTTCAGTATGCACTGACTGTACCTCCAAGATAGATCTGCTCATCCTGGAGGTCCATGAGTTTTGACTCAATAACATTCCATCAGATCCCCAAAGCAGCAAAAGTTCACAAGAGGAGACTGCCTGTCTCCCCCGTTAAAACCTCTGGGGACATGCAGCCTTTTGTTAACAGTGCAACACTTCACACTTGGTACAGACAAATCCCTGTTGTAGGTAAGGAGTTTACAGTGAGGTGAAGTGATCTAAGAACACACAGCTTCTAAGTTACACGGCCAGGATTAAAACACAAGTGTCTCACTCCAAAACTCACTGTGCTCAGACACGTCCAAGCTCTACATCTCCAAGGCTGCTGCTGCCTTGTCACTGAAGATTTCGAATGAGTGACAAGGACTGCTGACCATTCAAACAAAAAGCTTAGCAAGCTAACAAGAATATTAGAACCCAGCCTCCCCTCCATATTTTCATTGAGGGAATGAAGTCTGTCCATTTGGGTATGTATCTTTCTAATGTATCATTACTATTTTATTCTTAAAAAAAAAGACTTCTAGGATCCTAAGCACTGTCAAATACATGTAGACCTTCCATAGAAGCAACCGCTTGTCCTGTCTGTAAGACTAGATCTATCCCGAGCCCACACTCAGAGTCAACAGGGAGAATTCTCTGCCCAAACATGGAAGAAGTTTGTAATCCACTGTTGATGGCTGATGGAAATCAGATTGGAGATGGTAGTGTGCTCTGTACAGGCCAGCACCTTGGAGACTAGAACTCTCCAGGCCTTCAGCAGCAATGACATAACCTTTCCTGAAATCTAAGCAGTATGTTCACCAAGCACTTTCACATAAATCATCTCATTAATCCCCACAAAATTTCACTGAGATAGGGTTTATGAGCTTTGCTTTATTGATAAAACTGCTCAGACAGGAGTCAATGGTAGGGCTGAGACCAGAAGCCAGGTCTCATGCTTCTCATGCTACTGCCTTGAGAATGCCCCAGGAATTGAAGCCAGAAAGGGAGAAATTAAAGCTATTTCCAGGGTCTGTGGGTATTGTGCAGCATTCAGCTGCCTCCTTCCTTAAGCAAGATGAGTCTATAGTATGTGTCCTTGGCCAGAGTGAGGCCTAGCTTTGCCAATAACACCTGTGTGACCTGGGACAAGTGGCTTCTCTCCGGGCTTTAATTGTCTCATCTTTACAACATACCCATATCACTATACAGACTACCCCTTCTAAAATCAGGTGTCATGAATGACCAGAACAGAGCTGGGGACACTCAGAGGCAGCATGGTCCTGAGCTACTTCATCAGCGTAGGAGCCAGAAGTTCATAAGCCTGCCCTCCCCACAGGTCAGTGCTGCAGCCAGGGCAGGCCCCAGCCCTCAACCTCAGGCTCAGTCTTCCCTCTGCTCCAGGTAGGCCTGGTATAAATGGTCTTTCATTTTAATGTACTCTCCTACATGTTGCTGGAAGATGGAATATAAGTCTTTATTATATTCACTGAAAAGACCTATGTCATCCCACCCTCACTCTCACATCTGCAGAAGGCCAGCTTCCTGGCACACACAGGCAGGTTGTTGGCAGGTGGGTAAGGCCTGGCTTGCCACCTCCTACCTCTGCACCAGCCTCCAGCCCACCACAATCACGTCAGCAATGCCTGGCGAAGCATCTGCTTCTTCTGCGGTGTGAGGCGGGTGGGGAACTGGATGTCAAAGAAGATGAAGAGGTCCCCCCTCTTGGTAGGATCCTCAGGTAGTGGCATCCCCTCACCTGGCACCTTCTTGAAGTACTTGGGGCTGAAGTAGAGGAAGATGAAAGAAAGGAAATTAGAGGGTGCCCTGTGGCATACATGATCCCACCCACCTATACTCACATAACTTCAGGAATGGGCCAGTTACTACAGCTTACACCAGGGTGTAGCTATTATCAGCCAGATGGGGGAACTGGCTTGTCTTAGGCAGCTTGGTCCCTGGACCCATTTATATTGGGTCTGGAGGTTCCCAGGAAATTTGTTTTACATAAAGGACTAGGATAGGGAGTGAGGGTAGGCAGATCCTGGATTAGGGTGGGGAGTGCTAGGTTGTTGATCAAACCTTCCCAAGCAGAAGGCCTTTCTTGGATACAACTCAGAAGTCTAGTGAGGGGTCCTGGAGGACAGCCCATCAGTAGGGACTGCCCAGCACTGGAGGCTTGCAACCTCTATAGTGTCATTGTGCAAAATAGATGAAGTCACACCTTTTGCCATATCAATGTAGCCCGCGGCTTGGCCAAGATGTGGGTTGGATTTTGGTCTTCTTACCTCAGCCAGGCTACCTGCACAATACCATACCAGGAAGATTTGCTTGACACTACTCCCAAGGTCCAGGGCAGACTTTCTCTTGTTTATAGGGCCCAAGGCAGATGAACTCACTGAATGATGTCATTGATGGGAATGTTGAGCAGACGGTCATCCAAGGTCTTCACCTCCACGGTGCAGCAGGTAAGAGCCTAGGGAAGGGTTGGAGTCAAAGATGGGGGGGCTGTCACCAGCACTATTCTATTTAGAATGTATTTTATGAGTCTATACAGTGTCAATTCCTGACTGGGCACCAGGGTAACAAAAGAATCAAGGACTAAGAAGAGAAGCGAGGTACCCAAGCAAATGCTTGTCTTTAAGGAATTCACCTTCTGGTAGATAAGATTAGTATTGACATAGTTTAAGTGTTCAGAGAGAAGTAAGATTATGTGGGAGCCAAAGAGAGGTTCTCAAAACAGTCTGGGGAGCAGGGAGGTGCTAACAGTAGATGTGCGCCTTAAAGGACAAGAAGGACCTAGGAGCTAGTTGTTCAAGAGTCAGTGGCTGACTAACAAGTGAGGGGATGCAGGTGAGGTGGGGAAGGGTGGCAAAGGCTAGGCTGTCGCCTGGTCACTCATTTCCTGGATTGATGACAGCCTGGTGTGGTTTGCTTCTGATTTTGTGTGCCAGGCTCAGCACCTTCTGAAGGACTGGGCCACACACTGGGGTGAGTGATGAGGGAGGCCTGTGTTGGGGTCCCCCTGGGACAGGTGAGACTGGTAGTGACCCTCGTTTTCCTGCTTCTGGACTTAGCTTACTCACCTTGCCCAAGGGAATAGGTTTCACAAAGAAGAGATTGTTGTTCTCCCTACGGAAGCGAGGGTGAAGCTTCTCCTTCACAATGAAGATGATGTCTGCTGGGATGATGTTGGGGCCCTGTGCAGGGGAGGCCAAGGCATAAAAAGGACTAATTGACAGTGTGAACTTGGCCAAGTTCCTGCCCCTACTGTTCTCAATGTCTTCATCTGTACAGTGGGGACCAGGTGCTCTGGAAGGGGCTTTTCATTTCCGCCTCCTTGGCCCCTGACTTGAGAAGCCTACCGAAAGGATCCTCCAACCCCCAGTGTTACTTCTCTTTCATTGAGAACCCCGAAGATAAATGCACTCAAATGGAGAGCCATGAGCTTCCTCAGTCGGGGCCCCTTTCCTGCCAGTTACTTCATCACTTGCTGTGGTCTCTTTTGGGTACCAGGGACAAAGGAATCAGATGGGCCTTTCTAGAAGCTCCCTGCCTAATAAGGCTTCAAAGACTAGTGAGCTCCAGGCCTTGATAAAGGGAAGCCCAGTGGTCGGGGAGCCCAGTGGCCCTAACCAGATGGGAAGGGCTATCCAGAGACTGAAACACTGGAGCTGAGTTTTGAAAGGAAAGGTGCTTCAGGAAAGTAACTGTGTTCTAAGTTGAGCCTCTTCTCATAATTTAAGACCAAACATGCCCCCAGGACAGTAATTTTACATTTTTATTTTATCTTAGCTTATTAATTAATAAATGGTTTCTGAGTGTCTCTTGTGGTTGGACTTTAATCAGAGAAGTATTAAAAAACATCAGGTTGGCTTAGTGGCAAGGAGTTTCACTGACAGTCCAAGGCACACGGTTCCAATTCACTAGTTGCTCCACTAGAAGAAAAATGGACAATCTCCTCCCATGTGATTACTGTCTCTGAAAACGTGCTGAAGGGTTAGCTGTGAGTCGGTTCCAACTTGACAGCTGGAATAATAACATATTAGGTTGACATGATAACATCAGCATGCTTTCAGTGTTTTCAGTCTTGCTCTGGGCAAGTTCCTTTCTTCTCTGGGCCTCAATTCCCCACTCTATACAATGGGGATAATTCCTAGGATGTCAACTCACAGAGGCATTGTGAGGCTCTGCCCCTGGGAAGAAACATTAAGGATCATCTCACCTACTCTGCAGACTGGCCTCCCTACCAACCAAAGAGAATGTATCACCTCCTCCCTCAACCTTTCCACTAACTGAGCCCAGGTGACTGAGCCAGAGATGAAGGCTGGAGACACTCCTTCTGCCCTCCTCACCTGGTCCCCTTCCTTTTCAAAGATGATGCGTGTGCCCTGCCTCCAGCCAGGCTTCACATCGATTGTCAGTATCTTGTCCTTGATGGTGGAGGAGTACCCATCCTCATTCAGCACCTGCAGCAGGAATAGGTGGGGGTGGGGGAAGTGAGGAGACTATCTCAGGCTTTCCACGAACACAGGCGACCAGATGGCCCTTGCACACATGAAAGGTGTTCTGCGGGATTCGTGTCTGGGCTCACTATCTTAGCAACAAGCTGTTTCCACTCCCACTCTGTTGTCAAGAACTTAGGATCCAGATGGCAGGACATGTCATGGGACTGGGATTGAAGCTTGAGAAGCCTAGCAACCCCTATGAGTTGATAAGACCCACACACACATTCTATGTGTTCCTTAGCCCCACTTGGTGCTTCTCAGGCCTCGTCTGGGAAATGTGCTTCTCCCTCCCAGACACTTTTGCCTGCGTGCGATTCACTTCCACCCGCAGAAATTATATACCCCTAGCCACTAAAAGATGATCAGGAAAAATGTGTTCATTTCCTCTCTTCCAAGCCTAGAGACCCTGGTCCCGAGTTGTTTTCTTAGCAGGCCTTTGCTAAGCAGGGAAGACAGAAGGCAAGAAATCTAATCCTGAAGGGAGAAAGACCATAGAGATCAACATGTCTGAGCCTCTCTTAGTGCATCCACCCACTCACCAGTGTCATACCTGGATGGGTGCTGCCTATGGCAAACATGGCCACAGTTGGCATCTCCTGATAGGAAAAGGTGAGTGAGTAGGCCTTGTTCTTGTGCCTGGCATAGGGCTGGACCATGAAACAGAGCAAATCCAAGGCCTGGATCCTGATGCACCGAAGACCTTCCTTCTTCCCACTAGTCACTTTGAGATCTGTCTTCCTGCCTACACTAGCCTCACACTACCCTCCCTTCCCCTGAGGGATAAGTCCTGCTGAAATTCTGGTGGTTACTTCTAGAAATGCCTTTAGGAATGCTCAGAGTCACAAAAAGACACCTCTTTAGAGAGGCCTCCCTACTTCTCACAGGGATAGAGCTGAACTGAGAGAGGAAAGGAAAGATCTCATCGCAATGAAGAAAACTGCAAAGGGAACTCTTGCAATAACAAAAACTAAAACACTGAAGTGTGCCTGATCCAAGCCATGGTCTTTTCAGGTACTTGTTATCCATCTGAAAGCTGGGCAATGACTAAGGATGACAGAAGAACATTGCATGCCTTTGAGTTGTGGTGTTGGAGAAGAATTCTGAATCATGGACTTCCAAGAGAACAATCAGGTCTGTAGTGGAGAAAGTGAAACCAGGTCATTTCTTGGAGGCAAGGATGGTGAAGCTCTGTCTCATGTATGTTGAGCATGTTGTTAGAAGGAGCCAGTCCCTGGAGAAGGACATCATGCTTGGAAAGGTGGAGGGTCAGCGTAAGAGAAGAAGACCCTCAAAAGATGGATTTATAAAGTGATTATAACAATGGGTTTAAGTGTGTTGGAGATGGTGAGAACGGCATGGGATAGGGCAGGGTAAAGATCCACTGTTAATAGGGTCACTATGAGTTGTGGTCGACTTTGTGGCACATAACAACAGTATCTTCAATGGTCCTTTCCAAACTTCAAGTCTAAGATTTCAAGATGCCATCAGAGCTCCTACCTAAATTCTCCAGTTAGGGTTAGGAAGGAGGCAACTGGTAGTATTGTATTGGAGAGGGTAGGTGGTAGTTCCAAATAGAAGCAAGCCACACACTCACCCTTCTGGAAATCTTAATTTTCTTGGTGCAGCCAAAGAACAAGTCCTCCAAAGAGAGGTAGAGGTCTCGTTCAATAGAGGGGTCCTGCTTCTTAACACCCCGACCCCGGAGTCCCCCAAAGTTCAAGTCCACTTCATTTCCTTCTTCATTAAAAAACTCTGTAAGAGGTGGAAAGACAAGAGGAATAGAGGTGTTGTGTCTAGAGATTCATCTACCTCTCCAGTGTCCCAAGTGTGATGATACCCAGCATCTCATTCCCACCTCTAAAGCAGGCTGTTAGGCTGCATCAGGAAGCTGCCCTCAACTGCTGACCCAGTTAGGACATCCCCACTACTTCATCCTCCATTTTAGAGATCGTCCCACTTCCCTGCTGGTAAAACAGCCTTTCAACCTTTGTGGCTTCGGAAAAGACAGGAGTGCCCTCTATTGGTAGGTTAAAAATTATTCCCACCATTAGCTTGGAATACACCTATTACTCACTAGGACACCACAAGACCATCAGAAACCCTGGATTAACTAAGAAGTCAATAGCTGACACTGGGGAGAGAGGGTAGGCGTGGGAGGTGGAGGGTATGGGGACTGGGGAGAAGGTGATCTTTGCAAATTTGAAAGGTAAACAGCATACTCTCAAATCACTCCTTCCTTATCCTCAGTTATACACCCATATTGATATGGAATGATGTCAATCTAGAAACTAAGGTGCCCCCGATCCAGGCCATGGACTTTGCAATTACTTGCTATGCCTGAGAGCTAAACAATGACTAAGGACAACAGAAAAAGAATCAGTGCCTTTAAATTATGGTGAACATACCATGTACTGCCAAGGAGACAAATAGATCTGTCCTGGGTTGTGAAACAAAGCTGCTCCTTGAAGGCAAGGATTTTGAGGTTCTGTCTCACATACTTTAGCCCTGTTGCCATGAGGAACCAGTCATTGAAGAAGGACTTGGAAGGGTGGAGGGTAAGCATAGGAGAGGAAGACCCTAGATAAGTTAGATTGCAACAGTGACTGTAGCAATTGGGTCAAGTGTGTCAGAGATGGTGAGATTTGCTCAAGATAGGGCAAAGGTCAGAGCCATTGTTCATAGGGTTGTTATGAGTCATAGTTGACTCAATGGCACATAACAATAACAACAACAATCAGAATTCCAGAACAGGAAGAAACAAAATAAAAGGCACTGAAGAAATTGGGGAAGAGTTAATAGAAGAAAACTTATTGGATATCATGAGAAAAATATATATCCAAGAAGCTTGGCAAGCCCCAAATAAAACAGATCCCAAAAGAAAAGCACCAAAGGATTTCATAGTCAAATTCTCCATAATCAAAGACGAGAGAATTCTGAATGCAGTAAGGAAAAAAAAAATGAAGAATTACCTACAAATGATAACAAGTAAGGTTATATGCTGATTTCTCAGCAGAAATCATACGAACGAGCAAAAAGACATACCTAGTGAGAAGCCTATACTCAGCACAATTCTCTAACAAATATAACAGAGAGACCAAGACATTCTCAGCAAAGCAGAAACTAATGGTGTACAAGAAAACAAGATCAAGAAACACTAAAGGAAGTCCTTCCCACTATCACCAAAAAGTGATGGATCAGAATAATCAGCAACAACACAGAAAAAGAACCAAGATCACAGTAATAAAACCTATCCTCTTGAAAATCACACTGAATGTGAATGGTTTAAATGCACTGGTAAAGGGGAAAAGTAGCAGATTGGATTAAAAAACAGAATCTATCAATATGCTGTCTACAGAGACACACCTGTGAAGATAAAGACAGACTAAAAACCAAAGGATGGGGGAAATATACAAAGAAAACTGCAACAACAACAACAACAAATCAGGGTAGTAGTATTAAAAATAGACTTCATGGCCCCTGGAGATAGCTGCCTGGACCCTGGAAAGAGCCACTGGATCCTGGCAACAACCACCTAATGTGTATGAGGAATCTTATCTAAGCCACTTTCTTCCATCTCCTCCTCCAGTACACCTGTAAATAACACATCCAAAGCCCTTTTCTTCTTAACTCACAAGTTGTTCTCTCTAGGTTTTTTCCTTTCCTATAGGTAACCAGAACACTGAGTCTTGTTTCAGAAACCCTGAGCCTGGTTCCAGAGACAAAAGAGAAATTTAACTTCCAGCTAAGGAAAGGAAGGTGGATGGAGCCTCAAAGCTCAGCAAGGCACTCCCACTGGACTCACCCACACAAACACTTTGCAGTCCAGAGGACAGAAAACATCATGAAAATATCTTCTTACTCAACAAGAAGGCATGCAGCTTCAACTCAAGACCACCAGTAAAGTGTTAAAGTGGGCTTCCCTTCCCCTTCATCTCAAAGTCCCATTAAGCATGAAGCAGCCAGAGAGGCTATGCCCCTATTCCCAAATGGGAAACCCACAAATATAAAAGACAATCTCTTTGTAAAAAAAAAAAAATTGACCACCACTGGGCTATGTCCACCATTGCCTTGTCTTTTCCAGTCTCTGTTGGATCCTTCTCATTTCCTTTACCCACTCTCTCTACCCAATAAATTGTACAGCACTGTGATTTCATCCCAACCAACCTCACCCCTTCTGCTTCCACCTCTTACTCCCTTGGGTCCCCATACATGTTTTTCCACAATCAATCAATCAATCAATCAATCACTCAAATAGACTTCAAGGTAAAAACCATAAAATACGAGGGACACTGTATAATGCTTGAAAGGTCAACAGAAGAAGAGGACATAAGCATTATAAATATCTATGCAACAAATGATAGAGCTGTAGAATACATAAAACAAATATTAACCTGAAAAAAGAAATAAGACAACATCATGATAGTAGTGCTATTGTTGTTGTTAGGTGCCACTGAACCCAGCATGACTCATAGTGATCCTATGAACAGAAGATCTGAACCCTGTTCTATCCTGCACCATCCTCACACTTCCTGACACACAAGAGCCCATTGCAGCAGTTACCATATCAATTCACCTGGTTGAGGGTTGGCCTCTCTTTCACCGACCCACCACCTTTCCCAGCATCATGTCTCTCTCCAAGGAATATCTCCTTCTACCAACATGCTCAAAGTATGTGAGGTGAAGCATAGTTCTTGCCTCCATAGAGCACCCTGGCTGCACCCTCTCCAAGACATATCTATTTGTTCTCTTGGCCATCATGATGTTGCCTATTGTTTCAGTGTTAAGAATCTTTGTTTTCTTGACACTGACATGCAATCCATACTGAAGGGCATATTCCTTGATCTTCTGCAACAAGGGCTTCCAGTCCTCCTCACTATCAGCAAGGAAGGTGGTTATCTGCATTATGCAGGTGTCCCTCCACCTTACCAGCATCATGTCCTTCTCCAAGGAACAGTACCTCCTATCAACATGTCCAAAGTATGTGAGGTGAAGCCTCATCATTCTTGCCTCCAAAGAGCACTCTGGCTGTACCCTCTCCAAAACATATCTCTTGGTTCTCTTGTCCATCCATGGAATGTTCAGTGCTCTTTTCCAACACCACAGCTCAAAGATGTCAATTCTTTTTCTGTCATCCTACTTCACTGTCCAGCTCTCAGATGAATAGCAAGTAATCAGAAAAGACTATCACCTCAATCAGTCACACCTTAGTACCTGACATCATTACTCCTCAATAATTTAGAAATGTCCCTAACTGCAGATTTTCCAAGTGCAATATTTTTCTTTATTTTCTGACTGCTAACACCGAGCGTGTTAATTGTGGATCCAAGCAAGATGAAGCTGTAGACAGTTTCAATCTCCTCTCTGTCCATCATGACACTGCCTATAATTTCAGTGGTAAGAATCTTTGGGTATTTTTTTACTTTCAGGATTTAGAAGAGGCCGTGGCACCAGGGATATATAGGATGATGCACTAGCTCTAAATTAGATGCAAATCAAAACAACTATGAGATATCATCTCACCCCAGTAAGAACAGCAAAATTTTTTCTTTTTTTTGCATTTTTATTAATTTTAATAAACATTTACAGAGATTTTGGATTTCCATTCATTCATCGCTGCACTTTTCTCTCTGCCCACCCCTCCCCATCAGTTCGCTCCTCTCTTTGAAAAGAAAAAGGAAAAAAAGTTCCTTCATTGGTATACAATTTCCCCATCTCCCCTCACGCCCCA